GATTGCAGTCTTTTGTAACTTATTTTTTTCTTTTCAAATATTTGACTTTAGAATTTCAATATTTAATTAATATTTTTTCAATTATACTCTGTTTAATACACACATTATTCATTAACTATTCTCTTACTTTTATGGAAACAATATGATATAGTTGAGATAATAGATATTTAAATAAGAGATTTTTATTTATTCATTAATCTATTAAATATATTTTAATTTGTATACATCAATCTTAAAAATTAAAAGATTGAAATGAAAGAAATATTATTTTATTAATTTTGAATGGTTCAAATTTTAAAATTAGACATGATATAATTTTTAAGATGGATTTGTGTTATGTTTTGGATTATCCTAATTTATTTATTTTTTATATAAAAAATAATAGTAATAATAATATTTTTTATATCCCTTCAATTTTTATATATATATAAACAATACTTTGTATAATACACTATCATATTTATAATAATATTATTTATCTTAGAATACCTTAATTTAAACTTTATATCTCTTTTATTTTATAATTTAATTATACATCATATTAATATTAATATATTATATTAAAACATTAGATTAATTTACTTTTATTTCTTATTTCAAAAGTTAGTCGAATGAGATTTGAGTTGAAATACATATCTCAATCAAAAGTTTAAGTTATATAAAGGCAAGGATGAACGTTTCAATCCGGTATTTTTGTTCATTTTTATATTCTTTTAATTTTTTAATATTAAAATAATTATATTTGTACTTAAATCTTTAATAATATTAATTTTCAATTTATATAAAAAATTGTAAGAATTATTATAGACTAAAGGAATAGAGTTTATCGAAAGCAAGGAATGAGTTTGTTCTTTGTTTGTGTCAAATAAATATTGGAGGAGTCCAAGGGGCAAAAGTGCAGTAGATGTCAGAGATGAAACAACCTCCTTCTTATAGGAGTCTTAAAATGGGTGGCATCTACCAATCTGCTTAGTGCTAATTTCTCAATGTCAGACTTTAGTTCTCGTCTCCATCTGCAATGTGTGTCACTCTGTCTAGCTTCATAAAATTTTCCCATTCGACAGCTTACAAATACAAGTGTTATATTTTTTCTGCAAATGCAGAGTAGTAATGTTGCTGTTTTCCTTTTCCTTTTCAATAGAGATCACAAATGCCAGTTGTAGACTAATATTGTATACTCCGAGGAACATTTCTTTTCTTGTTGTCCAAGACATTCCACATTTTCAAACACATATTCTTTTAATTACATAAATTCAAGAATGACAAATTTGATGGATTGATATAGAAGTTAAATATTATGCACTAATTCAATGTAAGAATAATTTATTTAATGGAGAATTTATATTTGATTATGTGTAAAAATCTCTTGAATTAATAATAGTTACAATGTATTGAATAGAATTAGATTTTATAGTGTAATGAACTAGAAAATACTTGTCTTTAAAAAAAATTGAGAATGAAACTCATAACTATATATTTAAATAAAAGATATAATTACCCTTCGATTAAAACTTGAAAATAAAGAGTGTAAATAAATAAAAAATATATTTATATAAAAAAAATCTATGTCAATAATACAATGAATACTTTAAATTAAAAAAATAAAACAATCAAAAACAATTAATTAAACACAAAGTAAATTAAATTTATGAATAATAAATTTAGATTAATATAAGTTGAAACACTCAAAACATTATATTTTTAAAGAGAAAACACCTCAACTATATTGGTAATTTGAAATTTTATAATGCTTACTTCTTTCAAAATATGTGAATTCATCATATTGTTTGTGTGCAATAAAAGATTTCTAAATCAAATAACACTATTTTAAAATATTTAAGAATAAAAAAAATTTAAAAGGAAAAGATGGGTGAATTGTTACTTGTTATTTTAAAATTTTCTTCATATATTAGTATATTTAGAGAATATAAAACAAAACTGCTATGCACAATATTTGCTACCTGGAGACTGTGCAGTAATAAATCTAAATATTAAATTAACATTAATGAGTATAAAGTATCCGTTATTCACAGTTGTGAATAAGTAATATAATACGGTATATAACTTGGTAAAACAAGTAAAATTGCGAAATTGATTATCATAAAAAAATGTTAACATAAAACTAATCAGATAAAAAAATTAATTTAAATTTTAAATTAAGAACTAAAATTTTCCAACACTTCAACCATAATATTGATTCCATAGAACATATTCTAGTATTTTGAAAGTATTATACGTTACATATCTATATCCAATTAAAGGTAAAATTTTAAAAAGAGTGTCGGTCATGGACCATTAAATAAAGTATCCTTTTGGATAAAGCTCTTGTACAGATCATATTTTGTCTTATAATCACCAAAAAAAACATCACTTTTTGATAATAATGAAAAAAAGCTCAAGTGAGTTTGTCATTGTAAACAACGTTGTAGGGCTATATATCAACCTGGTTTATATCATCATGCACTTTTAAATAGTTAAATCAATGATAACTGTATCATCCTTAATTACTTTTAAATAATAAACACCTGTTCAAAATCTGAACAAATCTAATATATTTACAGATACCTATAGACGAGTTAAAATTTATCGGACTTTTTAGATGATCGAGACTAATGTGATAAGTTGATATGCTGTAAAGCATCAATGGAACATGACATAAGCTAATTTAAATTGTGCAGTTTATACCTCGATTTGATCTTGACAGTATTATATTAATTATAATGATATTTTATTTGTATTGGTGCAATTTGAAAGAGTAAAAGTTTTAGAGTGTGATCATGCACTGGTAGAAGTTTTACATTAAATGTTATTATTGAGCAACATATACGTGAATTGTGGGGAGTCATACATCTAATAACATAAGGATTTGAATTAATCTAGTGTCTAATTTATGTTTTGTTCATTTCTGATTGATGGAAAATCACGCTGGTATTTTTGATTTCATCAATGATTCAAAAGATTGTGCAACCGGATGATCGATCGATCGATCAAGTGAGTATTGAAATACAGTAAAATGGGTGATGGATACGTGAGGAATGAGGATCCATGTGTGGATTGGATTGTTTTATAATAAGTTCAGTACTTCATAAATTGTTTAGTAGTCTTGTGATCATGTGCACCCAATTGAATACAGAGGTTGATTCTGCATTTATGCTGAATATTGGAACACATTGGATGCTTCTGTAAAAATTGTGGTGATGCTAAATTGGAAAATTTGATGGATACCAATTACAAGACTTTATATTTCTCTATGGGTTTAGCTCTTTGATACTTCCCATTAAATGAAATCGGATGAAGTGCATTCCAATTACTTCAACTCCATGCCATCCTATTTTAAATAATCAAAACAATAGAAATTAAAAGTATCCTATTGTGTGAAATAAACCATATAGCTAAGGAAAAAATATTTTTTACACCTCAAATGGTTAGATACTTTGTGAGAGAGAGAAAAGAGAGAAAATTTTTAAATATAAGTGATGAAAATAAAAAGAGAGATGATATTGATGAAGTGTTTAAAAATATCGGTTGCAAGAAAAAAAATCATTTTATGATTAATATGAACTTCCAAATTGTTTACGTATAGTTATTATGAGCTCTTTATATATATATATATATATATATATAT